GCGGGCCAGGGAGACCCGGGGACAGAAAATGCCACAAAGGGGGAGAGTTGGATTGCAACAGAAGCGACAGATGGGGAAGGTGGGGGCAGAGCTGGTGCTTGGTCTTCCTGGGCTCTTCCCTGCGTGGTTTCTTCCTTGCAGCCCCTCTGGTTCCTCGAGGGCCTGGAAGCTCTCCATCTCCAGCTGGCCCCTTCCCACCTCGCAGGCAGCAGGCACCAGCTTGGTGGGGGTGTACTGCTCCCCCACCCCAACTTGTGGCCCTCCACAAGGCTTCCCGGCTACCCCCCACCCCCCAAACTGCATTTGCATCTGATTTAGCATGCATGGTGGGCCTGCTGGCTCCTAGGCCCGCCTGGCTCCAGAGTTTTCAAAGCAAAGAAGCATTAATGAGCTCTGCGGCCACGCCAGCAGCTCCACTCCTGGAGCGGGCTGAGGCACCTGGAGTCCAGAGCCGTGTGGAACTCCCTCCTGGGTCCTGCTGCGGGGCTACCTCTTGACAGGACCTTTTCCTGCTCCCAGAGGGGCTGGCAGACCACCTCCAACCCCACTTTTGAGCATCCCTCCCTTCCAGGGGGCTGCTGCTCTGAATTTGTCCTGGGTCCCTTGGTCTTCAGCTGGGGCCTTGGGCAAGGCAGGCTCAGCGGTCAAGTTCCAGCCTGGGCTTCATTTCACACAGACTAGTCCTCCTTCCCGGCGGGTCCATCTGTGTCCTCGTTGGGGGCTGGCACAGCGACCTGCCCCTAGAAGGTGGCCACCAGTACTGGCGTCCTCTCCTGGTTTGGCCCCTCTGCAGCAGGGGGCCTGGGGTAGCACCAGGTGAGGTGCCTCATGCTGCCACCTGGTGTCCAAGTCCTTAATGAGTCACCAGTCCCCAGCCCCACAGGGTGGACCTTGCCTCTGGACTGGGAGGGAGAGGGGCGGCTTTGGGGCACCAAGAGTGGGTGAGGCCTGGGTGGGATGGGGCTGAAGCAAGCGAAGGGGAGAAGAGGAAGCTTGGGGGGAAAGGGGAGGGCTCTGCAAGAAAGGGTGGGGCTGGGGCTGCAGAGCAGGCTTGGCCATATGTGGGTCAGCCAGAGCACCACCGGAAGAGGAGGAGCACACAGAGGTGCACACCTTCAAGGAGCCCTGTGGCCAAAGGCTGCCCTCCCACAAGGTCTCGCAAAGCCTGAATGTGCCAGGCTGAGAGCATGGGTGCATATTTCTATGAACACGAGGTAACTGTTTTAGAAAAGGCCTCCCCCAGGGCGCCACCCCACTAGGTCTGTCCCTTTCCCTTCACCGGGTGGGGGTGGGGAGGGAAGAGCCTGGGATAGGGTGAAGGCAAAGACAGGAGGCTGGACTGTCCGAGTGCTACATCTCAACCCTATATTTCCTGGCTGTGTGACTTTGGACAAATTACTTAGCTTCTCTGAACCCACTGCCCCCGCCCCCTCTACCCCCGGCAAAGACAGGGAGAGCCGTGGCCCCTTCTCCTGCTGGAATGTTGAGAGGAGTAAGTGAGAGACAGCACATGAGCCTCGGGTTTGTTTTTAGCACCAGCTCAGCCCCCACCCCCACCCCCAGATAGACCTTTTCCTGGCGTCTTGGGGGTGGAGGAAAGAGAAGCAGTCAAGCCCCGAAGTGGGGGCCTGCAGCCGTTGACACAATGCCCTCTACATTCCAAGGAGAAGGCTAAGGGCGAAGTGTCAGGGGAGATGCTCTTACCTCCTGAGGTCCCCCACGGCCCTGGGAGTCCGCTTTCCCAGCGTCCCCCAACCGGTTTCCTTCAGATTTCTACACCCTACCCCTGCCTCCAGGAGCAGAATCAGATATCCACCCAGACAGGCATCACAAGGTTAGCATCACCCTTATTGTTACTAGTGTTAATAGGATTCAGTAGCGTCACAAGTGAGAGGGGTCACAGGTGTCTCCCATCACAACTACCCTATGTCCCCTCCCCGCAGGCACGCCTCCATTCTGGACAAACCCTGCAGTCTGTGGGGTCAGCCAGGGAGGGGGGGCAAGGGACTCTTTCTCTCTGCACATCTCTGGAGAGCAGCCAAACCATAGCCAGTACCCCCACTAAGGTGTCTTAGCCATCTCTAAGAACAGAGGGACCCCTGAGAAGAGCCAGGTAGGCTCAGAGTCACCCTAAGTCGACCACTCAGGTTCAGTCCACCGTGCCGTCCACCGTGCCGGGTGGACAAGGAGGCGCTTCAGGAAGGCTTGGGGCAGAGGTCGGCCCTCCGTTTCCTCTTGTCACAAAACCCTCCAACCACCGGAAGGGAAAAAAGACCCCAGAGCCCCCTCCCCCCCAACCCAAGTATTCCACCCTCACGTGGGAATGGACAGTTACCAGAGTCTCTAAAAATAGGAAAGCCGGCTCTGCAGGCCTGAGGAGCCAAGCCCCATGAATGTTGTCCTTTTGCTTAAAAAAAAGGAGAGAAAAAGGGCAGTTCTTAAAACGACCCCCTCATCCCAGCGGAGGGCGGAGAGAAAGAGTTCAACACCCCAAGAAGACCATGCCAGGAGTTTGCTTAGAGATGGGGTGCACATTTTGTTTCAAAAGAACAGTTTCCCAAAATCACTGCCATCGAGTTGATGCCAACTGACAGCGACCCTACAGGACAGGGTAGAACTGCCCCTGCAGCTCTATCAGAGCAGAGAGCCTCGCTTTCTCCTGAGGAGAGGGTGGTGGCCTCGAACTGCTGACCAATAACCACTAGAAAAAGCACTTCCCAGCTTAGAAAGCCTAGGAGTGGGCGAACCATCCAGGCCTGTGTGGGGCTGGTGTGGAGCAGCCAGGCGCCCCCAGCTCCTTGCTGTCAAGTTAAGAGAAAGTTCGAGAACCCTGGGGTTTAAGGCCCCAGGGGTATCCAGCGCCCAAGGACTAGAGTGAGGGCAGATGTTGGAGAGTGGTTGGGGCCTGAGTACCTGAGCTTGTGGCTGGTGCCAGGGTTTCAAGCAGTCTTGGCTACAGTGGCACAGGGAAATGGCAGTCAGCCACATGGCTCCCCCTCCCCATGGGCTGGTTCCCACTGGGCAGGCAGCAGCAGACAGTGTAAACACCTTGATGGAGCTGTTCCTCACCCCTCAGGGGCCAGCTCCCTACTGGCAGCCTGGCCACCTGGCCAGACTCTTCCCCTAGGAAGTCACCTCTAGACAGAGCCACCTCTAGAGAGGCCTTTGGGCTGCCCGTCTTCCCCCAGAGGGAACAATCCACTTCATCCAAGTGCCAGTAGCCCTGGGCCATGGGGGGAGCGGGGTGGGGGTGGGGGGGTGTTGTTGGAGGGGCCTACTCTCGGGCTGGAAGCTCAAGTCCTGACCACTCAGGTCACACAGCCCCTCCCGCAGTAACCCAGCTGCAGACCCTCAGCAGGGGAGGCCACCTTCCCAGCCTCAGTCAGGCCCCCCATTAACCCAAACAGCTTCATTATGCCCCTTCCAGCTTCCAAAGTGTGGCCCATAGCTGTCAGCAGCAATGAGACCTAAGCTGGAATTACTGGCATTCACAGAACTGCCTGGCTGAGAAGGCAGATGTGGGTGGGGTGGGGTCCCAGCTTCCCAGGCCTTCCTTCCCCCCAGGACTTAGCTCTCCTCCTTCATGCCCAGGAGGAAGGGCTGCTGTAAGCCGGTGGCCCTCCAGTTTCTCGACAGGCAGGCCAGTAGACACACACACACACACACACACACACACACAC